CACGGCGAAGAGAGGCACGCAGGTCTCGAGCACCACTACGGTCGAGGGGTGTGTGAACGCCAGAAAACGGCTCAGCGCTGATAGCACGACGGTTCGGAGTTCTCGAAGGAGTTCGCGCGGGCGTTTCTTGCGATGCCGCTTTTCCTGGCGGCGATAGACTTGACATATTTGTGGTGGTGTTTGTTTAGATGCGCCGGAGTGGCTGGCGGAGCGACGGCCGCTCAACTGGCAGATAATGTCTCGAAACCGTGGAGGTCTTCATCCATAGAACTTTGGAAGATCCGGGCGTAATTTGAGGGCAGCGATTTGGAGAATTATTTGTATCTTCGGTTATTGTTGATGTTATCGATCCATGTCAATGATGAATGTCAATTCGAGATTCAAGTGGGAACGCGACAAGCTTCAGCCATACGCGACGAGGGGAGCTTGAGTGCACGGGCCATCCACCTGTGGTACCTGCCTTGCCATCAATGTATGGAAATGACCATGATCTCAATTATTTTTGAGAGATCTCGAAGTGCAATTCAATCAATTTACACAGTTAATATGCTATGTCGTAAATATGTATTAGATGTCACAATAAGTCAACGATATGGATATGAGGCGGAGACTAGATCCTAAGCCAAGGAGTTGTGCACCAACAACTTTGAGATCCACCAAACAATCATACCTACCTACCTATGTAAAGCAGAGCTTCAGAGAGATCCCTTGGCAGTTAACCCAAGATATCCATACCCGCCAATCACGACACTGCTCACAAATCTCCAGGCAGCTGTCCTGGGCACACCAGCCTTGATACAAATCCAACAATCAGCAGCACCCCACAAGCAGAGTAAGCTCATGAGCGTATCAACGACATGGTATTCACCACGGAGATAGAACGTCCACAGAGCGACACCATAAGCAGCTACACGAGTGCCATAGATACCAAATGCCAATTGCGCTGGCTCTGACCTGGCAATGCCTTCAGGCAGCCCGTACTCGCGCATAGCACGGTCTGGGGCTCTCAGAGGCAGAAGACCACCGAGAGTGAAAGCGGTGCCTATAAACATGGCGGGAATATGCCATGGAGAGACATTGGAGAACAAGCCTGAAGCCATTTTGTGAGATATGAGCCGGAAACTGATGTTTCTATTAGTATGGTTTCAAGTCAATAAGATAGACACTTACCGATTGGTACTGTATTCCAGCATAAAAAGAAAAGAAAATAAAGTTTAAAACAATGATCGTCCGAGCATTCTTGAAACAAATAAGCTGACGGCTCGACGTAAGCAATCAGAGGAGCTACATGTCCTGTAAGCTGAGATCGTCAAGCAATGGCAAAAAGAGTCAAAAGAATAAGTACTAGGACCGAGCGTGGATCGAACACGCGACCTAGGGATCTGCAATCCCTCGCTCGTACCAGTACCACTGAGCTATCGATCCATCCATTTGACTTGTCAGCAGCTTCAAACTGTGGCATTATGAAGATTTTGGCGGCGAGGAACAGTAACAGTGACCTGAGCAGGGGTCTAAGCGCCCAGTGGAGGCTTCAACAGCTCTCAGCATGCATCCCTGGTCTTCAAATCTTTATCTCCAACCTCTTTATTGCTGATCCCTGTCTTGAAGTGGTACCTGATTCCTAACAAAAGAGCTTGTGATGATATCAATCGTTTCTGCTTTGAGGTTGGCGTGAGTCATGGAGGTTGAATTTAGTTGAAGAGATCGGCCAGGTTTCATGATTCGGTGGTTTTGTTCATTACGGTAGCGGTAGCAGTTCTCCTTTATTCCCTTCCCAGCCAGGCATTGTCATCATGTACAATAGGGACAGATAAATAATCAGCATGAGTGCAGAACGCCAGGTGTTTCTCAAATTCTCCGCCACCGCTCACAATTGTTCCATCACATTGTCTTGAAAACAACCTAGTTACAGGGCTTCTTTTTTGGCGCAGAGCTTATTGTCAGCTATTCCGCCCAATCCACATTCCCGCATCCTCTCTCCGCCTTTCATCTGCACCGACAGCCACCGCCTGCACTTTGAATAGCCGCGCCTTGTGTACTTGGTCTTGGGATAATCTCATCTGCAGCAGCTTGAGCATTATTCCTTGCCTTTGGTTTTCTCTCTCTTGCCCGTCTTCATCTCTTTTCATAACCCGGCATTCTTTGTTCGGTTTCCATCCAATCCGTCGTCTGCATTCTCATACCCAGCCGCAACCGAGAGTTCGTCTTAGCCAAGACGGCCATTAACAGCGAATCCTTACCACGAAAGGGTTCAGCGATACAGCAGGTGAGCTGCCTTTACCCCAAATTACGGTGCTTGGTTGGCTCCTGAGCCCTTGTATCTCCCCCACCCCCAGGCGCCTACCTTTATAGCCTTGAGCAAGCTCTTGATATCGATCAACTCCTGGCATTCGCATCCTAAGCGGATAAGTTCCAGTAGGTAGGTCAAGTTGGTCGGCGAGGCTAGGTCTTGGCTTATTACTGCGAACAGGGCCTGAGGTGGCACGGGAGGTGGCTACTGGTGGCATACCCTTGGCGCCTCTCTCGTGGTTCCTCCACTGCCTGGGCTTGATGGGCTTGGGGGCGTCTAGTCCAGTGCCAGTCTAGTCCACTCAGTGATACTGATAGGATAGAGGTGGAGCGGCTCCCATCGTTGAACCTCGCTCGTCCTGTGGCCTCACCTTCTGCGGCACAAAACGCGTGAACTACACCTCGGTTTTGTGTCAAGTTTCTTCTCTGACCTATCTTTTTATGCAGCTGTGAAACTCACCTGAGGATCCATTCGAGTTCTGTCGCCGCTTGTCGCATCCAAAACAAAATCGTCATCGTCGCACCTCGTTCCCTTCCGTTATCCGGCCTTCGAGTCCCTGGCCTGCCTGTTTGACCTGAGGTGCCCCTCTCCAGGCTCTAACCTACCTACCTACTACCTACACTCTAGTTAGTCTGTCTGTCTACATTACATCCACCACCATCTTCGTACAGACACAACAATCGTCGCTTCTATCATCTCCATCTGCCCCTCCACGACTTTTTGCGCTTGCACACAATTCGTCCATTCGATACCCATTTCCCTCGACTTTCTCCGCATAACCGATCGCAACAATGGCTCAGCCTGGCGTGCAGTCATTGAAGGTTTGTTGAGCCGATGGTTACCTGACGCAATACATGGTTGGCTGACCGCTGCTACAGTGCGTGGTGACTGGTGATGGTGCTGTTGGAAAGGTACGTCGGACAACAAACAGCCGCTTACAACGCGATGGCTTTCCGTAACAAGAGTCTTTCCGCTGACTGTGCTTCCAGACCTGTCTACTCATTTCCTACACCACAAATGCCTTCCCCGGCGAATACATCCCCACTGTCTTCGACAACTACTCGGCGAGTGTTATGGTAGATGGCAAGCCTATTAGTCTTGGCCTCTGGGATACTGCTGGTCAGGAGGATTACGACAGACTGCGACCTCTCTCATACCCCCAGACCGACGTCTTCCTCATCTGCTTCTCCATCGTCAGCCCTCCTTCATTCGACAACGTCAAGGCCAAGGTACGCCGCCCCCCTTATCGCCACAACACGTCGACTCCGCTGACACCCTCTCTAGTGGTATCCCGAGATTGATCATCATGCGCCTAACATTCCCATTATCCTTGTCGGAACCAAGCTTGATCTTCGAGAAGACGCCTCCACCCTCGAATCACTTCGACAGAAGCGTATGGAGCCTGTGTCGTACGAGCAGGCGTTGACTTGCGCCAAGGAGATCAAGGCCTACAAGTACCTCGAGTGTTCTGCCCTCACTCAAAGGAACCTCAAGAGCGTTTTTGACGAGGCCATCCGGTAAGCATCGACCGTGATTAATGTGCTCTAGTACGCATCTAACTCATATTTAGAGCTGTTCTTAACCCTCGACCCACAGCTTCGAAGCAAAAGAAGAACAAGTGCTCCATTCTGTAGATATCCATCTAATGAACGCTATTCCCGCGCGTGGCAAGGCACGCGCTTGATTATCTCAACGAAGGCGTCTGGACGACGCGAAACGACACGAAGAAACTCAGGACGAATGTTTAATAGGCATTCAGCGATACAAGACGGCGGCTCTTGACGGAATATCCCATGGGAGCGGCTGGGGCTGGACTAGGCTATTGCTTTTTTCTCGAGGCCCGATACCCGTCCCCAGATCATGGCCCTCGCAACGATCATGCGGAGGCAACTGCATATGACGATGGCTTTTACTTGCGAGGCGGTTCTTGAATGAATTTTGGGTTTTTACTATCTGCGGTTACGTGTTTCCAACCGTTGCTTTTTATTATTTATCTCTATTTGCTCATATCTCATACTGTGGCCCCCTCGCGGAGTTTATACCGATTTGGTCAGTAATTCAAGAACCGGATTGCACTTTGGACAGATGATTGCTTGCGATTGTTTGGCGATGTTTTGGTTCCTTCGACAAGTGTCCGTTTTACCCTGTGGAGCTATGTTGAATCCATGGCTATCATGTCTCGTGTCTGGCATTCACTATCTCGAGACTTGCAGTTTGGCAACTCGTTTCTGCGATGTATAGTGGTTTGGTTTTCTTCTAGAAGATGTCAATTTGTCCGTCTTGACTATAAAATGGTCTCTTTGGTATGTGGCTATGGGCGAAAGGAATTGCATTGCTTGTTAGAGCTCCCAATAGAGTATACGTTCAATTAAATCGGAGCATAAACAGCAAAGAACCTACAGCCTACACCAGTTGATATATACGATCAACAGCCTGCTTATATAGGCCCCTCATCTGAAGTAGAAATATCTCGGAAGCATTCGAATTGAGTAGCGGATATAGAAATATAATTCATCGTCTGTTCCATGCTCTTCTTCGTGAGGTCAAGGATCCACTTCCTTTGGGTATCTCTCACTACCTTACCATATAAATGCACCATCAACTTTTGTGTATCCGATCCCAGTACAATCATTTAACACATTCAGAGACCCTCACAAACCTACTCCTTCTTGAGCTTCACACCCTTGGCTCGAGGCCTGGCAAGCTGTTTCTACCAGCGGTTGCCAGGAATGTGGGCACGCCGACTTGGATGAATACCATCCTCTCCAGCTTTGCGAGTGTCACCCTTGCCCTTGTTCTCTTCCTTTGCCGTCCTCTCACGCTCAATACGCTTGGTGCGGTTCTCGTCGAGTTTGCGGTTCTTCTCCTTGATCTTGTCCTGGCGCTGCTTTGTCTTGCCACCTCCACCGGCACTGTTACACAAGAGTTAGCGTGTGTTCTAGTCATGTATGAAGTTGCTGTTCGTGCAGGTGAGTGTCGGTGAAGCAGTAGTGAGCGTGAATCAAGTCAAGACTAGTCACTCTGGTATGGTTACACAGATCGAGGTGCTTTTGTGTTGAATCAGGCTGAGGGATAGGGGTGTGGAGTCAAAGCAATGATATGAGTTATCATGTAAGACAAAAGTACGAAAGTAACTTACGTCAACTCGACGTTTATGCGGCGGGGGTAAGAGACACCATCTGAGAACTCGGAGTGGTGGAACTTGTCGAGGCATGTTCGCATATGCCAGACCTTTTCGAACTCGACAAAGGCAAAGCCACGGCAGGGCTTGCTATCCTTGGGATCGCTCATGCAGCGAACTGACACTGGGTTGAGAGAGGCAAAGTGGGTTTTGATTGTTTCGGCAGTGGCGGTGAAGGGCAGATTTCCGACGAAGACAATGTGACGGTCTCCTTTGCCATCAGCAGCCTCTGCATCAGCACCACCAGCAGATTCATCGTTGGTGGTCGTTGTTTCGGAGGCCTTGTTTTGCTTCTTTTTGTCCTTCTTGCTCTTCTTTGGCTCGTCCTTGGGTTCGGCATCGGCGCTGGCGCCGTCCTGTGGTTGTGACTCGTCGGTTTTGGCCTTCTTGTCCTTCTTCTTCTTGTCTTTCTTCGCAGGCTTATCTGCCTCTACTGGCGCATCCGCTGGCTTGTCATCAGCTTCAGCCATTGGAGCATCCTCAGCCGCCTCTTCGTCATCGTCCTGCTCAGGGAGGTCCTGGAGGTTCTTGCGCTTCTCCTTGCGCTCCTTGCGCGATTCCTTCTTGTACTTCTTGTCTCTCTTCTCTTTCTTAGCCTTCTTCAGATCGGCACCATCATCCTCGCTGCGCTTGCGCTTCTTGGCTGGGGCCTCAGAATCAACGGAAGCAATGGGCTTGTCGTCGACCTCGGCGGTCTCTCTTGCGCGCTTGCTCTTCATTATCGGTGACTACGGTGGACTGCTCTGAAATAGTATCGTATAGGTGGAGCTGCTGGGGATGCAGAATCTGCCGATATCAAGTCAGTAACCTTGTGCCATGTCGCAATGTAAAACATGTGGCTTGAGGAGGAAGCAAACAATGGTTCGATCGAGGGAACTTACAGGCTATTCGGTGCAGTGTGATAGTCCTGGGAGTGGAGGATTAGGTTGCGTCGTGCGGCTGGCTGTTGTTTGCTTGATCGTCGGTGCAGGACAATTTTTTTGAGGCAGGAAATATTCCGGACTGAACTAGACTAGCGCTGTTTCGGAAGCGTACCGCTGATGCTTGCCCTGTGTAAGTAAGTATCCGTCCGTAAGGTAGGTGCGTGCCTCAGTGAACCAACCTATTGAATGGTTTGCCAGTTGAGGCTGCACTCGGGGCGTGGAATTCTAAAGAGAATCGATCTGCGCGTGACAAGACGTACAGAAAATGTGAGAATAGAGTAGGATCGGTCGTTCATGTGAGGGTGAATGTGATAATCCAACCCAATAGTAAGGGAAGCTAGGGAAGGCGGGAGAGGCCGAGATACTGACTGCCGGGAATAGTTATCAAGGATAAGAATGCACTAAAGTTACTGGCTGGCCACTATAACGGTACTGCTACCAATTCCACGATAGAGTCAACCAGCTTCAGGTCTGTAAATGCTTTAGCTTCCTGGTAGAAAACGGCCTATCGTAATGACAGCCTACCTAAGGTATTCTTCTCCAGTGACAGGCTATTGAAACCCAGGTCTCCTCACTGTCAAATTGCATTTTCGGGTGTAGGGGCTCACTGCTTTCTTTTTCCTTGCCCGACTGTCTTAGTCTCAACCTTTTCTTTTTTTTTCGTCAGTTATTTCCCTCTAGGCCGGCACGTAATTCATGCCACTAAAGACACGCTGCACTACACGCATGCTCGCACGTACATGATGTGTCTCAGGTTGTAATGCCAGCCGGGCTCTTGGTCCACGCACGAGCTCAAGATAATCAGCGGCTATCACGACTATCCGTCATGCCATGCAATGTCATGGCGCCAGCGACTGGACTACAGACTCCAGATCCCGCGCTGCAACGCTACGCTACGGCAGAGGTACCCCAGCTCCCATGTGCATACCTGTAAGTGCGCCTGCAGCTGCAGATGATGCTGATGCTGATGCTGATGCTGATGCTGATGTTGAGCCAACCCTGAATATGCGGTGGACGTATCCGTACGTCTAATCGACCACTGCGCAACTGACATGGAGGCTCTCGGACCCATATGACATATCTTGATCAAGCCGAGGCCATCTGCAGCTTAGAGGCGCAACATGGTGCATATTGACCCAGCTGAAAGGTCGAGGGTTGGGGAATCCGTTCCATTATCCCGACGTCCCAAGATCAAGGATGGGACCCTTGAAACGGAATAGTTCTGTTTTGTTAATTATTGATAGAGTCGACTATTGGAGTTATTTGACCGCATCTAGCGAGTCATTCACCTTATTTGTATGACGATCGAAGAGCAAAAGGGTCCTTATAGCGTTGAAACGTGGACTGTCCAACGGCCGCACTGCCTCTTTCACTTTGTCGACAAGCTCATGCAAAAGCAAAGACTTGACACTAGCAAAAGTGTCGACCTAGAGAAATGCCCCTCCCCCTCCACATCCAAGTCCACGTCGACATCCACTTCACTAAACTGCCCTTATGCAAGCAAGAGATGTTGGGATTGGGATACGTTTACGGTCCGGCACCTCCCTGCGCCCCAACTGACAGCCGCCTGTAAAGTGAAAGTGTAACCTGACTGCGAGTGAGGGCGTATTAATAAGACGTCAAGTGGAGGAAGCAGAAGGAAAAAAGAAAAGAAAGACGAAAGAATATTAGACAAGTGAAAGTGAAAGGCTCCATCCCTGTCGAGATATCCCTTGTCCCTGCCCCGTGCTGAATGCCCCATCATCCACTCAACCCTCTCTAAACCGTCATCCTCCATCATCAAGCCATGTCCACTCGACTCAAGTCATGTCCTCCGCTGTCTGTCTTATACCGTCTTTTCTTTTTTCCAATTTTCACTTTCTTCAACGCTTCTGCTAATTAATTCTAAATCTCGTTTCTACTCTGTCGCCATCTCCGCTTCGCCTACGGCTTGATCTCCGCCTCGTAGTTATTGTACGCCTCATTAGACTATGCTCCCTGTCTTTGTGACACCCATGTTTCCCCCCCGTCTATCCAATTGCCTAGTTTGCTGCAAGTAGAACCACCTGAAGTTGCTTTTCTCCATCTTACAATACTGCTTCTGCTCTGTTTCTCGTCGCGGAAACGCTGCCAGACACCAAAAACCTTGACAGGGGTTCTGATATGTCCACAACTTTGACATTTCCTGCAAGCTCCCGTGTCTTGTCTCTGATGCTCTGCTCTCTGACCCTCTTTGTCTAGGTAGCTAGTAGTGTCTCTCTCCCGTTCTCAACCTCTCCACTGACTGACTGTTCATGTCATTTTCAGATCCTCTCTTGACTCTGACCCGGCTTCTCCGACACTCCATCCATCTCCATTTACACCCCCAGCTGAACCAGCTGAGCCCGTTCCGTATCCAACCAGCGTTGGTACCCGCTATAGTTTCTCGGTGCTCTACACACATGGCATGGTCAAGGAAAGACATTGTCATGGCTTGGACAACCGATGTCAAACACAGGCATCATGGTCCAACTGGCAAACACAAACAATGGATGGGCATGGCATGCGAGATGAGGCCCGCCGCGTATCAATAGCCCAGATACAGCCATACCCGCCCCAGCCCGAAATTCTACGCTTTTGACTGTAGTCAGTTCTGCTGCATCTTGCTTGCTTCTTTTCTTATACATACATACATACATACATACATACACAACGTCTCTCAGGGTGGGTGGCCACCGGAATCTTCAGCTTTTCTCTGTTACACTGTCTATCCCCTGTCTTTTCTATCCCCATATCTCTCTCGTTCATTCATATTTACCTCGAATCTCTCTCGCACCTCAATTTCTTTTTTTATTAACCCTTTCTCTTTTCTATCTTGTGTCGACTCGACAGAGATTCTACTTTTGCTTGTACCCGGTTCTCCAAAACCCTGCGTCAAGTGGACTCGTTGTCGTCGTGATCACTTACACCGACAGGCTGACCACTTAGAGCAAGCTCACATCTTCTTCCTCTGTCACAATGAAGATGACATGGGACCTAGGAATGGACCATGTCCGGTCCTGGGTCCTCAACGGTGACTACGAGCTGGACGATTCTTTCGATCGTCCGTTTACTTGGAGTTCTACCGTTGTCACTGGCCTCTCTGAAGCTCCCATTGTACCCCTGCCTGAACATGCAAGTGCTCATTCAGATGTCGAGGGAGAAACTCATGCCTCCCAAATCACTGAGTTGACCGCTGCTTCTACTGGGCCGGACTCCTCTAACCCTTTCCCGACCTTGAACAAGGAGCAATTCCTTGCCGTTGCCGACAACGTGGACGATCCCCTGGTTCCGAAGCAACTCGACGTCCGCCGCATCTTTCATAATGGCCGCTATACATGGCAGCAGCTCGTGAGCCAGGCACTGGCTTTACCAAGAGGCACCTTTCCTCCTGGCCTCGACCCGTCTATCATGCTCCAGGATATGCCGCCTCTCCCCGAATTCGTGCCGACAAAGGGAATCCTGGCCGGAGCCCCCACCTGGTTTGTCCCGGATCCGGAACCTCACATTCGGGACGGATCAGATTTTGACCTCGACAACGTTACCGGCACCACCAAGTATTTCCGTCTCAGCTATCTGTCGCCCATCAACTGCATCATCTCTTCAGACCCAGGTGCCTGCCACTATGGCAATCCAGCTGGCACCGCTGATGCCTCCAACGCCCCGCAAGGGCTCGCCATCTTGACCGTGTGTTGGTCCTACATTCTCTCCACACGGTTACTGCAACTCCAGGAGAGGAAGATCCACTTCACCGACTCCTGTCTCCAACCAGTCCCGATTGACACGATCGGGGATCTCGCCCAGAACGAGATCCTGGTTCATCTCCCTGAAGGTGTCTCCTCACGGCTCGTGCATTGGCTCTGTGCGATTCTGGCGTCACAACCAGGTTGGGCCGCTGAAGGGGGTTCATGTGGACCATGGGATGCCACGTTCGCTAGTGATGTGTGCTTCATCATTGCTACTGAAGGTCAAGTTTCGATTGACTGCGATGCGGTGCCCCCAACTCCCACCGAAGCTACGGACCTCTTGATCGAGTTCTGTAATTCGTTTGGTATTGGCCATGAACCCCGCCGATCCAAAGATCCAAGTATCTTGTCCCCGATCAAGGCTGGATTTCTTGCAGCCCTCGCAATTCCATTCTATCGTATGGCCAAGCTGGAACCGCATTTACCTAGGCCATCTCTGAAACCACGAAAGAGCACGCCCATGGATGCTAATCAGACAGCCAATATTCATCGATACACAGCGGAAGCACGCTACTACATGACGCTGAGCATGCATCCTTACGCTCTGGCGCCAGTCCTCTGGAGCATATTTTGGCAACCAGATATTCAGTGCAACCTTGCTAGTCCCTGGTTGGCTGCCATTGCCAGCGTTCTTCAGCCCGCCTTCAAACACTGCGATTTTGAGATGCTTATCAAGGTCTTTCTGCTCCGCCGTCCTCGGGTAGCCATGTGGTGGCATGGCCTTTTCCTTCTGGGTAACCCTAAAATCTTGGATTTCATTCGCAACTATCTGACTACGCTTAATGAGGGATGTTCATACGATACCTTGTCTCATCCAGATATTGTTACGGCGGTATGGACAGGGGCACCACAATCATATCAAGATGACCCTACAGCTACCGCCTACCATGACCTCAGCACGGCTGTTCCTCGTGCTGCCCTGCTTCAGCATCGGCATACGCTGACTCTTCGCGACCCATGGCCCCTCTTCTACGGTTGGCGCCCCTTTGGTACAGTTCCCAAAGATACTATCGAGCCTGATCTGTACCCTTGGCTTGAACGAGGCCACCGTCGGGAGTACCGCCATTGGACTTGGTGGTCAAAGAATAATGCATCTTTTGAACCCTCAGTGCATGTTGGCTACCGCAAAGAGACTGGTCAATTTGACTCAAGCGTCTCAGATAACCTCGATATTATTTCTTCTCCCAACTCTCTTGCGCCAATTCCACCCCCAACTGCTCTTCCTGTCGCTATAGAGCCCTCCCGCCGTGCTACTCTACAGATGATCAACCACTCCCTAGGAAACATAGTTGGAGAGCGCAGCCTCAGTACTGCTGTCATTCCAGAATTGAATCACTCTCACCCATGGCTCAAGGACTGGACTCCTGTCTGAGTTTATCTTCATATATAATACCCCGTTCTCCGAATTTACGACCGTCATGTTACCCTTCGTACGATATTTTAACTTCTACGGCCGCAGCAGAAGTCAGGCCTGAGCATTGGGTTTTTTGGCCCACAGCATTTTCGAAGAAGCGAGTTTTGGGTTAATCAAAGAGGCATGATGAACTTTGTGCCTCAATTCACATTCACTGTCAATGTCCATGGACTACGGTGCTTGCTTTCGGTCATGTGTGTTGCTTTACTTTTGCCTTGTTACCTTTAGCTGATGATACGGGCGCCTAAGGGGGAGGGAGGAAAGCTTCTTTTAAAACATGGTGCCAAAATCAACTGATCTAAAGATCTTCTAAAATATACTAAACTTGGTCAAGCATTTTTGTTACTTAGGATAGTAGTCTGCATCACAACCAACATCTCACCGTCGAGCAGTGACAAAGGTAAACGGGAGAATGGTTGATGTATTGATAGTAATGCTATGTGTGCCATTCTGGTCCCTCGCACTCGCCATGCCTGTTCGAGCGTCATTTCAACCTTCAAGCCCTCAGGTTTAGTGTATCGATGGTACAGCCTGGTGTTTCCATATAATAGCCTGGAGATCAAATGTTAGTAATCAGATACATTTCAGTATTGGATGATATGCCTTAAAGCGAGTTTTCGGCTTCGATGCTGGCCTGGGCAATGGCTTCAAGAGTCGTGTGCCTCAGCGAGAATGACCTTGCGGCCCTTTTCTGGGTTCCACAAGGGTGCTCTGAAGTTGAGGTGTGACTTCGTTGGCGATGGGTATTGGCCAAACATGGTTGCAACGGGTAACGGAGGGCCAGGGCTCGACGTGATCGATTGCATCGCAGTTTTGGAATGGCTAAGTTTATTGATTAGGCAAAGTCGTAACTGAAGAGTGACTTGAGAACGTAAGGTACCTAGTGAGAAGGTCACCAGAGCCATGGAACAGAATGACTTGCGACCACTAATCTTCGGGTCAGTACTTGACCTCAGTAGTTTTGATCTATAGTAGTTCTTACCAGGTAAATGTCGTCAACCCCTTGCTGCCAGTCATACCACATCCATCTGAGCATTCATGGCGGTCAACACAACTCCCCGCTAGTCCACAGTCCGAAGCTGTTAGAACAGTCGTAGGGCAAAAGCCCCAGAGTCCATTGCGTGTGTCGACTCGACAGTTGAACCCAGAATCGGCAGTTCTCTTCTTTTTGGGATCACCGTCTAGGTAGCCACAGGTCGAGAGCTCAGTGCTAATAGCCCGTGGCTCGAGAATGTTACTCGGTTGTGGAAGAAAAGGGGCTTCCGTTACAGGGGGAAAAGCCGCATGGAGAGCGACAATGACAGATGGTAAAGTTTGTAGATAGTACAAGGAAAGAGACCTCATTGTGAAGGTTGAGTTACTCTAAGCTGGAGAAACGTTCAGAGAGACGCGCAGAGAAAGCAAGATGATAATTCACGATGAAGATACTAGGGTAGAAACGCCTCCTTATTATTCTACACTGATCCAATCTTTCTGCCCTTACTCTCAGTTTCCAAGACTCAACCTACATGGGTGTAGTTCTTGGTTGAGCCACCAGGACCCGAGGACTTGGGGCGCATGCACAGAGTCTACCATTGGATCGTTCCTTGTTTTAGTTTCCTATAACATCTTTATAATTAAGTTTTGAACATATGAAGGACTCCTTTTATCGGTTTACACATTCTCGGTACTGTCTATCATTCAGTGTAAGCCTTTAAGAGTCATCTCAAACATGTATCTGAGTAACTATTAACAAAAGACTTTGGCACTTGGATCTCTCTGAAACTGTATCACTTAAGGCCAGGGTGCTGCTGCATCAAGAAGATCGGCATTACTCTTCTTAGTTCTGGGAAGACTGAATCTTTTTGTTTAAGTTTCTGGACACGTTAAATAGTTATGTATAGAATCTATTTATTAAATTGCCATCAGGTTGAGTCCGGAACCTATCTTTCAGCCTTGTGGCCCATGGGTCATCATTGGCCTGCTCAGGAAGATCAAACAACCGGGGTATCCTGTATCCTCACTTGAACTCGGGCGCTTAGACGACCCAAAAATATACATCACATCCTGGTATTATGATCCCCTGTCACTTACAGAGGAACTTGCTGTTGGCTGTTGCTTGTGACTGAACCGATTTCTCTTTGCTATGCCCCAAATTCTCTCTTCTTTTTCTCATCATCCCTAGATGAGCAATGAACTCATGTGGTGACCTATTTGCTTCGTTCAAGTCATGTATCGCAGGTTTATAGCACCACTGCTGGCAGTCTTTTGCTTCTTCCTTGTCGTTACGAGTCTCTATCTTGGGCGTGATCACCTTACTTGGCGCTCAGGTTCTTATATTCCTGTACAGAAAGAAGAGGTTGAGAACAGTCCCAGCCTAAAATTAACGACAGTAGTGACGACAACGAGTGCTAAGATTGAAGAGAGCCCTTCGCATACGCCAACTCCAGCTCCAACAATTTCAAACGGTAAGTATATCATGTTCTCTATGCCTAGTGTGTACTCATTTCTCACAGGTAATATATTATCGGCTGAGCGTATATCACCCTACATAGCAGCTATACTGGACCCATTATCTACGGCCCTCCCTCGTCTCGAGTGCCCTGCTCTAAATGTCAATCGTTACCAGATCCTCCAAGAGTCTCGACATGGGGATGAAGTTGTAGACTCACAAATTGATTATTTCTTTGCTCTCAACTTGCGGGACTGCATTGGCATTCTCCCGCGCCTGATGGGTAGCATCGTTGAAGCTATTCGTTTCCTTGGACCCCATCGTTGTGCGTTATCTCTCGTTGAGGGAAACTCCCCTGACGGCACATCCGATATTCTCTCCACTCTGAAGCCCTTCTTGGAAGACTTAGGACTGGTCTATTTCTACAACAGTTCCAAGATCAACCCAGCACAAGGAAATGCACGTATCCATAAGCTCGCCCAACTACGCAACCTAGCCCTCACTCCCCTTTATAAAGAGCAAGTCAGTGCCACAGACGAAACAACAGTGCTTTTCATCAACGATGTGTCCGCCTGTACAGAAGATATTCTCGAGCTCGCTCTTCAGCGACGTAGTCTCAACGCAGACATGACATGCGCTATGGATTGGACCTACGTAGGACCCGACCCACCCTTTTACGATATCTGGATAGCCCGTACCATAGCAGGAGACTCCTTTTTCGAGGTCGGCTCCGATGGAAATTGGAACTCAGCTTGGAACCTCTTCTGGAACGCCCCGGGAACACGCTCACGCTACGACGCACAACAACCCTTCCAGGTTTTTGCCTGCTGGAACGGGGCTACCGCGTTTACTGCGGCGCCGTTATTACATGGTCTTCGGTTTCGAGATACTCGCAAAGGAGAGTGTTTTCAAGGGGAGCCCCAGTTGTTTTGTAAGGATATGTGGTCTCGGGGTTTTCGCAAGATTGCAGTTGTGCCGAGTGTAAATCTCGAGTATTCTGACGAGAAGGCCGCAGATATCAAGAAGCTGAAGGGCTATGTATCGAATATAGTTGGAAGACAGGAGGAAGATGGTGTACTAAATTGGGTATATGATCCCCCAAAGCAGGTAAGATGCATGCCAACTTGGGATAAACAGTCTTGGAGAGCCTGGAACGAAACGCTATAATAAGAGGACGGACAGTGATTAGGGACGCAATGGGTACGGTTTTGAAGTTATTACGCACGGAAAGGTTTTGCAATGATGATGGTAAAAGCAAAACAGACTTGTGTATATTTACACATGTCCTACGAAAGGACATCCATGATTCCTGCTTGATGTTTCTTATAAATACATATATACCTTAGCAACCATAATCATTCTGTTGACTGTAGTGTCAACTTTTGTCCAAAATAACAGGTATCGTGTACCACTATCACTTTGCTCCATCGACAAAAGAGAGAGGAAATCCAATTATTATGCTTTCCAATAGTCCATTGTCTATTGGTTCCAATACCAGCGCTGCCCAGCGGGATCAAAAACCCACCGTGGTGGGAAGAGTGGCCTAGCTCCTGTCTGCTAGACATGGGGTCCAAGGTGAGGAGGAAATTGGAGGTGATAGGCTTGGGGAGAGAATTGCTGATGATGCCAAGGAGGATTAGGCATGTATTGCCTGGGAGGTGGTGCATTGAAGTGGTTGGTGTTGTAACCTCGCTGGAAACCATTACCACGGAAAGGAGCCATGTGGCCTCCTCGTCCGGAGGAATGTCCATGGTTATTAGGGCCATGCCCATTAGAGTTGCCTCGCCACGACACCTGGCTTCCACGCTGAGGCCAACCATTTCGTGACTGGCCACCATTCTGCATATATGGCTCGCTTCCGTTGTAAAACTGGCGATCGCTTTCTGGTGACGGTGGCCCATTGTGGTACGAGCGTCGACCATCGTGGTAGTCACCCGAACCGTTTCCTGGACCTCCGCCTCGGCGGCCACCACGCCCAGATCCTCCCCTTCTCCATCGATAAGGTCGTCGGGGACCACGAGGTTTTCGATCGACCTGGAAATCGATCCGCTTGATGGGATGAGTGACCATTATGTCATCGATGATGTCGTACTTGATGAGCTCATCGTCGCCTGTCGTCCATACCTGGAACACATTTTCCAGCCTCTCAATGTACTTGACTTGAGGCACCCAAGTTCGGACATAACTTCCGTTGTTGTCATAGTCGAATGCTTGTTTAATAGGGTTGAATATGCGTGCGTCACCTCTGGGGTCGTTACCGACACCCGCCACGTACTGCCAGTTGGCCCAGTTGGAAGACACATCATAATCTACCAGCATGGCTTCGTACCATTCAGCTCCGTAGCGCCAATCAATGCCAAGATGTTTTGTGAAGAAGCTGGCGACATTCTGTCGGGCTCGGTTCGAGGTGTAGCCCGTATGATAGAGTTCTCGCTGTGAAGCATCAATCAGCCCCATGCCTGTTGTTCCTCGAAGGAACCTCTCAATGATGTCACCCAGTTCCTCGGGTGAAGGATCTTGATCGGCACTGGCTTCCTCCTTCAGAGCTGTCTTCCACTTCTTATCATACTTGCCACTGGCTCCCTTAAAACCATCAAGCTTGAAAAGACGTGAGCCAAACTTCATAGTACACAATCGCATGTAGTCCCGCCACAAGAGCTCAAATCTGACAGCTTTGGTGCCTTCGTTCTCTCCCTGTCCGAAGCCTATAGCTCTAGAGTAGGATTGTTCTTGACCGTCCTCAAACTTGACTAGTTCCTCATGAATGCAGCGGGCTGAAATAGATCCGAGTGCCAGGTATGCTGAAAGCTTGGTGCTGTAATCGGTTCCTAGTAAGCCGTTGCGGGTCTCCTGGTAGGTAGTCATGGAGCCTGACTTGATGAGATGGTAAAGACGATCCCAGGCAGGGTTCTCTCCACCCTTGAATGGATGTGCGGACCGAGCATCTTCAGGATAGGCTGGAGGGTCTGGCACCATACTGTTGATGGGTTCTAGGAGGCGTTGTTCAAAGTCGTTGTAGTTGTCAGGAATCTGAAATGGAGGTTCCTGAGGTGGTGCCCACGATGAAGGGAATGGCGGCAACGATCCGGCCTGCGGACGAGGGAGAGAGGCGCGAGGACGCTCCCGGAGGGGTTCTTGAGTTTTGCGGAAGGTTGTAAAAACATCTGGAAGCTCCTTGGGGTTATCCAAGCCAGTGTCACGACTAGTTACAAGCATTAGTGAGTATCCAAGATTGACTCCTCGGCAGTCATGTAGGCTGGCAGGCGGAACTTACTCGTCGATGTAAAACTTTTCGTCCTGCCAAAGCTTAAAGTTGATGTTGTTCTCAGAACATACAGATGCTACAGCATTCTGATCATCAACCTCCTCTTTCGATACCTCCTCGGTCATCCAAACTGTATCAACAGATTGATGTTCATCGTGCAGGGACTTGATCAAATGCTTTAGGACGTTGTCGAAGCTTCCGACACGAACCAGCATGCCACTGCGGATGTCTTCAAGATTTTGTTTCACATCCCAGATAGATTCAGCTTGGAACTTGGCTCGAATGGGGCCACATCTCCAGAAGCGGCCTACCTGACTTCGGGCTTCGGGGTAAGGAGACTTCTTTCCTTCAACAACGAAGCCTGAAGTTTCAATTTGGTGAGGGGGGAGAATATAGATGGGGAGGAGGTGAGTGAAGCCATGGTCAGAAGTGGCCAGGTGGTGAAGGATAGGGTTGTCGATTGCCCTGAGATCGCGTCGAAGTAGGTAGACGAGAAGTTTGTTCCCAGCCATGATGTTAAGATTACAATGGTGTTGTTGTAATACAAGTTGAGGCGTAAACGGGGCGTTTACGGTATTGTCTATGGTTCAGGAACCTGGTTTCGGATCCGAAGGGAGAACTTGAATTGGCGGAGACGTTGTCAGACCTTCCACTAGGTGGTTGTGCGGGAGGGGCCTAGTTTTGGGACTGGGATGAGGGCTCAATATTTGGGCCACTGCGTGGTTTCGTTTAAACGGCTGGGGTAGAGTGTGTGGGAGGTATTTGGTTGGGCCGTGTACGGTACAGCAACAGCAACAGCAGTTGAGTTGAAAGTTGGTTGAATTTGTGGGCGTTAACAAGGGTTTGGGCACCTTTCTTGTGACGATATAGTATAATGGTAGCCAAACAAAGTTGAAGGAAAGCTGAATAGGAAGAGAAACTTCTCAGAAGCAAACGAGTCTGGTAACTCGACGGAAGAGTCTCGAAGGTAGAAGGGCAGCGGGTTGGGTTGTATGTAGGTATTGCGTAGGTGATTAAGACAGAGCTAAAGAAGTCTGGTCTGACTAGATGAATGGGGAACCAGCGGATACTGAGATATCAAATAGATCATGGATATCAAAAGCTGGGATCTGGCTGCTACTATAACTTTAGCTCGTCTTAGCTTAGTTTAGCAGCTTCAACGGTTCCTGGCCAGATATACCGTGAAGCAACGTCGGAGCCTCGATGCGGATGTAGCCACAGGGGTGTATATATCGCCTGCCCACGACCCTTGGATGGGATGGAGGAAGCTAGGCGGGAGCCTAGCGTGAAGTGAAGTGACGGGTGGGTTCTCCTGGTAGTTGATAGTGGATATGATGATGGCATTCAGGTCCCCTAGACGCGGGAGTGAAGCTGTTTGAACCCCGGTTCAGCTTAACTTGACTCAAAGGCCAAGTCTAGATGGTTGAGAAGAGGGTGTATAGAACTCAAAGGCAGGCTGAGACAGAGAATGAGTGCAGGAGAGTCGAGTGAGTGTGTAAGAACAGGTAGACATCAACTTCAACCAACCGCAGTTGAGAAGAGGATAATGCCATAGGGGAATGAGAGAACAAGGCGAGAGTTGAATGCATACGATGACGATGATAATAAGAATCTAGACTAGGTAGGTACAGGAGGTGAATGGAGATCCTCCTTCCTAACGTTGGGCCAGGCCACGGCGACTTTTCTCGTTCCAGGGACCGGACCTGCAGAATGCAGTGATCGATACACTAATAACTCTCCGACTTGTCCAGGTCTAGAAACCTGGGACAATCATCAAAGCGCCTTTTTTTTGGTCTGGAGAAGATAGTGATAGCTCGATATCAAGCTTGTGGTTTAACACGATACGATGCCACGGCAAGGTCCAGAATAGGTAAAAACCCGGTAATAAGAGACGATGGAGATGGTGATGGCGATGGAGATACCGGTAGAACAAAAAGAAAAGAAATCAGAACTTGGAATAAAAAGAAAATAACTAGAGCAAAGGTAAAGGCAAGAGGAGACCAATCGCTCTCTGGACCCTGATCGGCCCATGACGGAGAACCCGGTTGTTGCGACGGCGCCATTGCTATGATGATTTGATTTGACTGTGAATTTTTACTATGTTGCTACGATGCGCTTTGCTTTGTCGTGATCCAAAGCTCGATTTCCATGCCTCTACAACGATCCTCTAGATCGGACCAAAGACGGGAGCTCTAGCCTACAGGGGTTAAGGGTAAGGCTCAAGCGAATGGACAGTGACAGGCCACAGCAGAAGCATTGACAGGGGACGGGGAGCAAAGAAGCTGCTAAAAAAGTTTAAAGGGTGTCAAGTTTTATTCGCTCCAAGCGATGATCTCTGTCTTTTCCCCCTACCTCTCAGCCAGCAAATGCAACCCAAACATGTGAGTGAGCTAGTGAGGTGATTCTGCTTGGCCCTGGGGCGGGACGACGCGCAGTCTTGCATTGTATATCATGCTCAAGTTGTTCTGCTTTGGGGCCGGAGGCTTACAGGGGGCTTCAGGGCGTGTCCGACCAGGCTCGGCCCCCATGTCTCGTCTCCCAGGCACAGTGAGCACTACCTCCTACTTAGGTGGGGTGGGGCTCAATGGTGAGAACATCACCAAACTTAGCAAGAACTAGACCGTTGACGATTGACGTTCCTAAGCTGACACTTGACAAGGGGAAGGTTTCCATAAACAGAAACCTCATATCCGTAAACCGTCAATCATGTCTAGATTGATCACAGACTGTTCGCCCTGGATGAACGTTTGACTGCTGTGCTTCCCCCCTATCAAGCCTCACCTGCTACTTGCGTACGCATATTCAATGTTGTCTCCGCCTCACTTCTCTCTTCTCCTTGTCTTGCCTTGTCTGGTCTTGTGTGTGTCAAAATGTGCACGACGCGATCTGGTGTTGCGCCAACGATTGAGATGCGATGCAGCGGCATGGCTATCGACATTATCATCGCCATCGTGGGGGGCGTGTGCAACTGTTACACT